TGGATTTCTTATGAAAAAACTATGAGAATAGTTCATCATCATCATCATTACCTTCAAATACTATCGCTACTTTACTGGTATTACTGTGTATGTATGTATGTTAATATATGTATGTATGTTTTTATCATAAACATAAATATATGATTATAATTTGTAGTAATAGTTCCATTGTATATATTGTATAATATGTGAATTAATATAGATATCTTTGTAGCTATTTACCTACAACAATTTTCTTTTTTTTTTTCACTATATAATTACATTTCTGTTTTACTAAAAGTTAATAAAGAGAAAATGCTTTATAGCATTAAGTTTGCCTTTTGTACTAATACTTTTTTTTGTAACGTGGTTAATAAAAAATAAACAAATAAATATTGAAGGAACATAATAAATAGTAATTTACGTACTTATCCACAGCAAATTCTAAAGAATATATTCAATTTCATATGGATTGATTGAAACATTAAGATATTAAGTGCGAACAAAAAATTAAAAGAGAAAAAACAACCAGTGCAATTTATAAATATACTGGGTCCCTAGTATATTCCAGCTTCGCATGGGTGCAATGCCGCACCGCTATGTCTCTGCATTTTAATTATGTATCTTCGAAAATAATCATTTAAATTACATGCTTTAAAGGACCATATTGATCTATATTATATGGATAATGTAATTAAGGTACTTAATTGGATACAAATTAATGCTGTATTGCTTAAAATCACTTCGTAAATAAGCCATTTTTTCCGTAAAATATAAAGGATAAGAAATGGTTATTGTAGGTTGTCCTTAAGAGATAGATATATATCATTGCGGACTTTTTTGTTGACCTTTTTAAGGTGTACAATACTGTAGTACAGTATTTTGATTTATCTTGTGGGATTCAGTTAGCGTTTGCAATGTAAGCGCAAAAACTGAGTTTATTTACGCCATCACATTAGAAACCTCTAAATTTATCAGTGTTTCTCTGCAATATTATGCATGTATTATACATATAAACCTTCCTCTTGAACCACTCTATCTATTAAAAAAAACTGCTTCAAAATTCGTTACGTAGTTTAAGCATACATAGGATCGGACAGACAGCGACAGCGACTTAGTTTTATACTATGTAGTGATTGAAGTAAGGATATTTGTAATTATGTTTCATGCACATTGATATATTGGACCATATATCATTTTGTATATGTCTTAAATCAGTGCTAGAGATACATTTAAATCATTATTTAATGGCCAAAACCAATATTATATGTCCGAAATAAATCATATTTAGCCACCATATTGTTCTCCACTACTAAGTTTAACATTTACAGTAATCGCTTTCGGAAACATTATTTGATATTTAAACAACATTGAGACAAAATAGGGTCCATAGACAAACTAAACGAAGTGATTTATTTGAATTATTACAGTTAAATGTACCTAAAGACAAAGTGATTGTTCCACGCGGTTACTACATCGACTTTTGTGATAAAATCAAATCGTTCCATATTTTTTTAGTTGGAAAAATAAATAAATAGACGAAATATGAAAAACCAAAGTACTTATTGTAAACGAATTTCCTCGAAACGTTTCAGTCTCATACTGACTTTAAAATAAAGTTAATCAATTCCATTGTATTTTTTTTTAAAGTTTATTATCTTATAATTCCGTCAGTTGTAAACCGATTTGGTAATTTTTTTTTTATATATAAAATGATATACTTCAGATTAGTCCAATAGAAATATAATCAAAATCGATCCAGTAGTTTAGTTTTTAAATCGAAATAACTGGTTTTGCCACAATTGAAAACGGTTTTTTATTTATGGAACAAAATCTTAATTATGATGTAAAAAATTACTTAATTATTACCTTGACTTCATGCTATTATTAATAACGCATTTTTTTAAACTCTTGTCTACGTTTGTGCGTTTGCCTTTCAAAGGTGACTCTCTTTTCAAATAATATTATATTTCATATCAATTTTATTCTCCCTTTGCACATATTCACTTATTCATTCTTTTGTCTAAAATCAGATACACGAGAAGAGGCTTACGTCCCAGAGGCGTTTATATTTTAATTAAGCACTTAATTAATATTGAAAGATGCTAATATGACATGAAATTCTATTTCTATAGAGATTTTAGAAATTTTGGTTAATCCTATTAAGGATTCAAGATTTTATTTATTTGTAAAACATGCGTATAAATATATGCAGATGTTGACAACATAATATCGTTCGACATGTTTAGCCTGTACGGCATACAAATATATGTAGTTACACAGATAGTTCACATTATACATCAAGTCCATTTTATATCATTAATCGTCATCACATTCCAATTTTAAATACATTTAAATAAACAATAATTGTCAGGCAAGAATAAAAGAACGATGTCACAATGATGTTAATAAATATAAATAAATATTCGCTTTGTCAAATAAAACATTTTCAAATCAATTTAAAAGAAGATAAATTTGAAAATATTAGGTAACCTTACATTTCTAAATTAACCAATACACTTAATTGAGAGTATTTAAAATTACGATCCACGAAAAAAAATCACTTCAACTGTGTCAAAACCAGTTTTGATATAAAATCTAAACTCCGATTTTGTTAAAACTATAGGACCAGTCTGAAAGTATCGTAATGTCATTAAATAATGTAATGTAAATAGGACTCTATTTTCCGCGCTTAGTCTCTCCTTTGGGCCGTTGTGCATATGAGTCGTGGCTAGTACAGGCAACCCAGCTCCGCCTAAAAGCACAGAAGCTTCTTGGGATCTTCACAGGCCACACGGAGCGACCTCACCGTTCCGAGGATTTCTAAACGTTGATGGGCCACAGCTTCACATTCTAGGATTACGTGAGCAACCGTTTCTTTGGCGTCGAAAGAGCCTCGACATAGAGGGCTGTCTGTGGCTCCTATTGTGTATAAATGTTTGTTTAATGGACAATGGTCCATTATTGTCCCTATCATTATCCTGAGGTTTTTCCTATCTAGATGTAATAAACGTTTTGATAGTCGTTGATTCAACGTAGGCACGGCCAAGTCGATCTGAAAGTATTTTTTGGGTAAAAAAATAATTTTCCAAAGGTTTATACCTGACGGAGTTGTAGGGAAACATAAAAAAAATACAATCGAATTGAGAACCTCCTTTTTTTTTCAAAATCGGTTAAAAACATTCAAATAGTTACGACCGCGTGTTCGAATATCATCGAATCAAGTTACCTGAGTATAAAAATCTTCGATTTATCTTTCAATTTCATTAAAAAATAAATAGATTAAAATAAACTCACGGCTATAACATTTGATGGGGTAGTCTTTCTTGTCCGTGTCATAAGAGGTGAATAAGAGAATCAGTGTCCCTCTTAAAACATTACCAAGACTGTCATCATAATATTAGATAATAACTGTCCGCTGTTGGGGAGAAAGGGATTGTTAGTAATGGAGACTGAGAATCCCATTGCTACCAATATACCCAACCAGGTCGATCTCCTCACGGTTCTCCCTGGAAACTATCATGGTTAATTCCTGATGAATTCGTCATGATGGGCTAACTGACCTTTTTTCATTCTCATCTATCACTCTTCACTGGTGCTCCACCAGCGTATCCCGTTAGCGCGGGCGGGGTTACCATACTATTTTCACCCATTAAAAAAAAAACTGTCCACTGTTGAAAATAAAGCTCATCATAGACTGCCTTTGCCATTGAGAAATATTGCTCGTAGTTGCCACATTTGGCAGGTGGGTTGACAACCGCAGTTATGCTTTGATAAGATTTTAAGAAGGACGCTGCTCATCTCCACACCATTAAGTTTACATATTTAGACTGTGATCGGGTCAAATTATCCATTTGTTTATATTTTTATTAATTCCTATTGAAACAGAGTACATATAAAAATAATATACATTATGAGTAAAGTAATTTTCGTAACAGAATATTACAATATGCATCAGCTGTAGCCCTACAGCTTTCTGCCTTATTGTCTCAATGTAAACACCCGAGTACAAGGGTCTGAACAGTAAGACAACGCCTCTATATATACACAAGAACAAACATGGCCCAAAGTTTTGTTTACAATACATTTATTGTGTATATATTACGTTATACAGAGATTCGATTAGGATATACCAACATAGTCATCTTATTTCTCATATTTAGAGACATAATTAATTATGTAGTTAAATATATAACAGTATTTTAAGTTCTCTGGGTTTAAAAATTCAAATAAGTAGTTCTATAAATATTTTTTTTCATGGGATGTTCTGGGAAATTGAGCTATGGGTAAACAAAACTTAAGAGCAACAATCCAATATTATTTTATATTGGTCTTTACTAATTTGATACTAGGAAGCTTATTTATGGGAAAGGCTTATGTCCAGCAGTGGACGGTTAACGACTGAAATAATGATAATAATAAAAAGCTAATTTATGCACTCTAGTGCAGCTCGAATAGAAGTGAGACGGTGACGTACGAAAGTAAAAGTCAAATACATTCTCATTCAAAATCAGTCTTTAGTCAAATGAGAGATTAAATATTGCATATATTAATTTAAATAATATTATTATGTATTATTTTTCAAACTTACGTTCATTTTTTATTGGATGTCTATATATAACGGGAAATCTTGCCGGAAACGACAAAAACTCAATGAGTTCATTAATTTACCAATACATATAGACATGTTATATCCTGACTTAACACAGGATACGTAATATACTGATATACGCGGGCAACGCCGTGGTAAACAGATAGTTAAAAATAAAGGATTTACTTATTTACTTCATTATTTATTTACTGATTTACTTATTTATTTAACACTTTATTGTACCAACATTACAGTATTTATTGAAGTATATGTTGAACAAAATGTGGTCTTATTTCTAAGCAATCTCTTCCAGACAACCTTTCGGTAGAAAGAATTAAATTATTAAGATAATAATAGATGCTTACAATTTTATATTATTTGATACCATTGAGAGTAGAAAATTTAAGTAATTTATTGGTATTTGTTGCAGGCGAGGGAGGTCACTGGATCAGACGGAAAGCGGCACTGCAAGCTCGTCGAGGTATCGACACACGTTCTCAACAGAGAATACTGCGTATTCGCCGGCAAATTGGTGTGTATATAGAATAATATATTTGTATATATAGGACGATAAATGGGCAGGAGCGTCCTTTCTTAAACATCCCATAGAAATTTCTGATCTGTAAGTGTATAGTTTTTGATAAAATAACAATTTTCCATATCGGTTTATAACTGACGGAGTTATAACGTTACAAAATCGAATTAAGAATTACGAGAATTACAACAAATCAACATACTTATTCTAAAATTAGAAAACTTATAAGTTAAATACTTAATACGTTTAATCTTTCAATGTGATTAAAATTTTTTTGTTCGAATGTTTAAAACATTTTTAATAGTTAAAAAAAAACAACAATAATAGTATATTCATCGTGCCTCCGATCAAATTATTTATAATTACTCCTCTCCATCCAAATATAGCCTGGAAGAGATTACTTTTAGCGATAAGTTTGCCCATTATTTTCTCACTGTGATTATTTCTTGTAATTGTTTATATTTATAATAAGTTTACTATTGTAATATTTTGAAGGAAACAATAAAGAGTATTAGTTTATTTATCTATCTTTATAAACTGTAAAGATTTCAATAAAACTTGAAGTACACATAAATTATACTCTATTATTATTCATCTATGTATCAAATTATAACCACACTATGTAATGTACATAATTTAAACAAAAATAGCCCGACTTTTATGCACATACATTGAAATAAAGTAGTGAATTAGGTCAACTATACATAATTATATATTATTTATAGATAAAAGTGACCTCAAAGAAAGAAAACACCAAAGACCCAAGTCCGAGTCCACCTACACACAATTGATTTCGTATTGTGCCCATTTTAAATCACAGGAGAATGAAGGGTCGAATCACGAACATGAAAATTGCGTGACGTCCGTAGAAAAACGCTTTTCATTCGGAACTTGATATCGCAAAATGTTTGGAATGGGTTGCAGTTGTTTGTTCGCACAGGTGCCAGAAAATCCGTTTTGTGGAACAAAAAATACACAAGTTGATTCTGGTTCGTAAAAAAACATTGACTTCTTATTTTTATTTGTGGCAATTTGTCGACACTTTATATAGATTACTAGCTGTATTTCGTGACTTCGCCTGTGGTCGAATCGTGATATCGAATAAAAACTTTCTTAAGAAATGAGCTATAAATGCAAAATGATTGTTTTAAAATCCGATTAGTAATTACATAAGTGCATTCAAAGACACCAACTCTTCCACTTTGTTATATTAGTGTAGATTTTTTTTTATACAACTTAGAATGGCAAACAAGCTGACGGCCCACCTGATGGAAAGTGCTAACCGTCGCCTAGAGACATGAGAAACACAACTGTAAATGAGAGGATATTATGGACTTATGATGATCCTTGATAGTCGGAATCAATTATTTTATCATTATTATTGTTAGTATCAGGGTTCAGAACTTGCCCTTTATAAGTTTCGAGTTTATATTTTCGATACCGACTTACACTGAGGTTGAGATAATTATTAAATTGAAACTCTAGAGAGTAAAGTCATTTGATTGTTCTTATGTAGATCGAGTTCAAGTCAATGCCATACTATCTCGTCAGAATTGACTCGAAAATTTACGTTGGACAGTATTTTGGAGATATAAACAGGAGACCTAGTGTGAGTTATACAAAAATGTATATTACCATTACGATTACGTCGACAATTTTATATTAGAAATATAGTTGTGCTTCAAGCAGATGGGTTCGGAAATTCAGATTTCTTTACTAACATAACAATTGATTTTTTACTGACAAATTCCGCCCCTCAAAGGGAAATATTTTTTATTCAGTGGACAGTGTTAATTGATATGATGATGACTTTTGAACTATCATCTTTAATTTTTGTTTTTTAAATTATAACATCAAATGGTGCGATACCCACAAAAATATTACAGTGAATCCATGGATGTACGAGTAGTAGGCGCAGAATTGCATTTTGTAAAGAAATGTAAGATAGGCTTATGACCAGCAACGAACATTGGTAATAAATTTCTTGTTTTACAGATGGCTTTTAAAGTCACAATATATATATGTAAATGTCTCTGCGTATAGCTAAAAGCACTGTTCGGATCTTGGGTATCAGACGATTATGGGACAGGCACGATCCATCTGTCAAACCTTTAAATCCACCTTTGACAAGTAGATAATTTTTTATTGATAAATTGTATTGAACGAATGAAAATTGTAACTTAAATTATGATAACCGATTTTATAACAATTCAATCAATTTGGATTTCGAATAATATATAGGTATTGAAGTAGATCATAAATCAGTCTGCTGCGTGAAGTCATTTTCAATTATTGTTAGCTCATTTCTCATCAGTAATGACTCGGCTTTATTCAATCACAAAAGCTTTGCAGATAAAACTGTCTCCATGAATAATTGCCAATACGACTAATGATGATAAATTTTTTACTGAGTGCAAAAAATATATTTTTATTTTGCTGTCAATATGTTTCCATTTGTGTATAAATCTCTTATTTATTCCATTCATCGTAAATTTTATTTTAGCTAAATCCAGCAATTGTGATTTAAAATTTTTGATTATATTAAGACAAGACAAAAACAAACAAAACCCTTATGGAGAAGGTCTATTTCAGCAATGGACAGTTAACGGCTGATATTTGATGATAATGAAAACAAAAACAACGAAAAGTGCCTACTTCAAGTGCTGCAGTATAGTAGCATTTTATGTACTAAAGAAACTTTATTAATATAGCTATATAAGTTTATGCTTTTATATTAACATTTTGGCAATGTTGCAACGTATAAAATTGCTTTTGTGCTGTACTCTGTGCGACATAGCACGGTGCGGGTGACAGTTGACATTTTGACAGTTTTAACTTTTAAACATTAAACCAGAGGGAGACTGTACAAAAATCGTTTGCTTGGCCACTTCTGTCCTATTCGTGGTTTTACTTAGAAGCAGTAGTGTTTGCATGTCTGTGTTTCGGTTTGAAGGATGGGATATGGCAGTGAATTTACAGAGTACAGAGGAATAACACCTGAGTCCTCAAGAATGGCAACGCATAGGGGGTATCATGGACGAAACAATATACTCTGTTGTATCCATGGTACTGCTCATATTTATAGGCGAAGGTTACCACTTTCTATTAGGTGGACCGTCAGCTTGTTTGCCATTCTAAGTTGCATAAAAAAATGTATCGAGTAAGATTACCGAGTTCAAGTTGAAAATTAAACTCATCTTTATTCAAATAGTTTTTTTTAGAAGTACTTTTCAATCGTCATTTAATTTATTTATAAGTATAAACAAAATATTTTATCGAGTCTGTAAGTATTAGAAATCTGTCGTTCGCATCGTGCTATAACGCACTGATTATAAAAAAAATACCGTGAATTCGTTCAAATTTGAATGTAACATTAATGTAAAATATTACTGCATAATTCATCCGTTTGTAAACGACATCGTCAGGCAAATTGTAAAACGCCCCTTCGTTTTGTGTACTAATACGAAAATCAACGAAGATTTATACAATTGTCATTACAAACAAGCAAATATAGATAAAGTATAAAAAGTTAAGTATTTTTCATAAGAAAATATTTTCTTTTCTTTTTTGATTTTATTTATTTATGTTGTATTCTATTATTTATTCTGACAAAGTCAGACAAGTAATAAAGTGATCTTATGACAATTAGGCCTAAATTATGATAATTATGGTAATATTTATATATTATAAATATTATATTTATATATTATAAATATTATGAAATAACTATATCCCAGAGCTCACGTGAATTGGGATAAATATACTCTAGGATATAGTCCGTCTGTGTATCAAATTTTAATGAAATTCTTTCTGACATCTAAGCGGAATTGAGTAACACATGATTTTAATAGAAAGAAAGAATGAAAAGTTTTATTAACAAACAATTGCATTTACAAAACAAAACAAAAAATAAAAGACAATAATATTAATTTGAAATAATTAGTCACCAACATGGCCATCGCCGTGGGTGCCCTGGCATAGAATGGATTGCCAGTTTCCCGTGGATGTCGTAAGAGACGAGTAAAGGAGGGCGAGGGATGGGCAGCAGCATCCCTTTTAAAACATTTCTAAGAGCCTAACTGCGGTTGTCAACCCGTTTGCCTAGCGCGGCAATTACTGGCGAAATTCCCCTTAACGGGAAGGCTTATGTCCAGCAGTGGACAGTTAACGGCTGAAATAATAATAATAATAATGGCCAGCACTCACCATAATGCTATGGCAATTTATTTACTGCCACAGCGCTGTTATTCTGTGTAAGCCACGCAGAGACTTCACGGATAAAACCTTAAATATGTATAAACTCTCATATGTTCATTATTAACAGGATAAAAATATGTTATAATTAATCCCTCTTCACCTACACAATATCGAGTGGCTAATAAAGTTAGTTCCGTGAGAAATAAATTGAACAGTAATATTATTTGTCCGGGAACCTCTGCCCTCTATTTGTCCCTTGAGATTAAAACCTAATAGCATCGCAAATACATTATTGATTCTATTATACTCATATAAACATAGTGATATAGTTCAATGGAGAAATGTCATGTATCTTTATGTAGTGGTAATACAGTACTGGACTTAGGGAAGGTAGAGGGCGGTCAGGATTCAAGGAGAAGGAAATCCAAAACGAACGCTGTGATATAAGAAAGGTGTTTTATTTTTTATTTTATCTTTATTTGGTCTCCCAGCAATTGTTACACTGATAAGACTTAATACTAAAATTACTGTCTATTTATACTTAGTGTACAATCATTTTTAAGGAAACACAGCATGCTTGTTAACAAAAATAACAATAATACAGTATAACTCTTGAGGTATTTGACATAGGTTTTTTAGATTCAATAAAGTAAAAAAAATGTTATAGGATTAGTAAAGCTCAACTTGGGAGGGAATAGGACCGATCACCAGTAATGTTTATCATCAGTCTTTAAATCTGTAAAGTCATTACGGATATCAACGCGGAGAAGAAAAATGTTTACCGGATGAGTAAACATTTT